GGTTTGAACCCACCACCTCCGGCACATGGGGCCAGCGCCCTACTCCTTTGAGCCACAGGCACCACCCTCTTTTCTTCAAATCTCTTGTACTCTGCTTTTTCTCTCTTTTACTTTTTCTGTATAATTTAGTTGTTGAGAAAATCAGTCTGCCCTGTGGAGTTGCCCACATCCTGGCCTTTGCTGGTGTACACTGTGGTGTCTTTTTGCATTCCATCGTCCTCTCTTTCTCCTGGGTATCTGTAGGTTTAGGGGATTTTTTGGACTGGAAGCATCTATTTACATGACTGTTTCCTCTCTAAACTGTGAGCTCCAAGGGGGCATGGAATTTTGGCCAGAGAATGGGTGGCCTGGGTGCCTCCTTCAGGGGGCACATTTGTGATGTTAGCTGCTCCCTGCGGTCATTGCCCAGACCCAATCTTTCCTTTGTTTGGGGTGACAAAATGGTAATATTCTAATACCGTCGTTCCTCCTGTATTGATTGCTAGAAATCTAAGAAGTAAAAATTCCCTCATCAGCTATTTAATTACCAAGTTCTAGTTTATAAGGGAAAGATGAAAGAGTTGCCCGATTCTGTCCTCATTTCAGAACAATGAGTCAGCTCCCTCACATCCCTCAAAGGTGACTGGTGACATTTGTTTTTGCTTTTTCTCTATAATGACGGCTTTTAATGAAGCTCTTTGGGTTTGTTTAAAGCACGTGACTCTGAGTAGGTGGAACTGTGATTTTTGAGTCTTCTGTTTTTCTACCATGGGACTTGTGGATTGATTCATTCAATTGGCCTTTCAAAAATACTTCAGCACATACTAGTCAGGCACTGGCAATAGAGCAGTGGGGAAGATGGATATATGCCTCGCCCTGCAGAGCCAGCTGGCGGGCAGGGGATTTGGACATAGGGAGTAGAGGCAGCCCTCTGTAATAGGGGTTATGCATCAAAGTCAACCAGCCAGAGGCCCTCACTGCAGACTTGTCATCAGGGGTGGTAATGAGTTGTCTTGCTGCCTCTGATGTTCCAGAACTTGGACATGGGGGTCTTGCTCTGCTCAGCTCCCACCACTGATGCTTATACTCCTAGGAACCCAGAAACTCCCATGAAGGACATGTTGCCTGCAAGGTCTCAAAGGAAGGGTGTGTTGTGTGCCTGGGTGTGACTGCATTGCTCTCCCTTCTCTGCAGGAAGACTACCACAAGCTCCTCACCAAGTATGCAGAGGCAGAGAATACCATCGACCAGCTGCGCCTTGGGGCCAAGGTAACAACAGGCTGGGGTGGGGTGGAGGCATGAGACTAGGGCCCCCAGGAGATGATGCTAGAGAATGGCTTCTGCCTTCTATATCCAGTGAGGCCCTGGAGAAGGGAGAACCCTAGGCCTCATTCTACCCCAGGATCCCTCTGTGATGTTGGACAGTGACCTTGCCCTCCCTGGGCTATCTCCATTGCCATTGATGAGCTTGGATATCCTTGAATGCTAGAATCCAGAGTGCTCTCTTCTAGTTGTGCTCTGGAATAAGGTCACCCAGGTTCAATTCCAGATCCCATCTGTGGACCAACTGTGTGATCTTAAAGACATTACTTGGGCTCTCTGAGCCTCGAGGGAGTGGCATCTGCTCAGCCCTGGTGCTTATTTTCTGGGCCTTGTTCTTCCTGGTCATATTTTGCCTTTCTCTTTCCCCACCGTCTGGCCCACAGCCTTTCTCCTCACTTGAAGGCCAGCGTGAGGACAGGGAGTGTACAAGGGGCACTCACCACCCCAGAGAGAGCCACTGCCCAGCCTCCACCCTGCCTTGGGAGGAGGCTGTGAATTCTGAAAATGGGACCTTCCTCTTTTCTGTGCTGAGGCAGGAAGTGGGCTTGCTGGGGCGCCTCACGGCTTCCTGTGTTCCCCCAACCCCTCTTGCCTCATCAGGCCTCAGTGGAGGAGGGAGCAGGAACTGAGGCACAGAGATACAGACACCATACCCCGCCTTCTCCCTATCATGGTCCGACCCTCCCCCACCACAGCTGCTGCTCTCAGCATCTAGAGATGCTTCCGGGGTACATGGGCAGAGGTAGCCATGGTGAGAAACGAAAGGGCCCTGTTCTAGAGCCAGGCATCCTCTGTGTCCCGACACCTGTTCCCTAGTACAGGTGGAGTCTGCCTCCTGGGTCTCACTGGGCACATCTATAAAAGGGGGCTAATCAGCCCTTCCTCCTGGATGCCAGGGAAGCTCCTTCCAGTTCTCCCAACCACTGAGCCAGATCCAAGGATGCGAGGGACGAGGAGTCTGGGAGGGAAGCAGGAACCCGTCCTCTCTGGGGAAACCACTTTCTCATGGCCACAGCCTCCTAGAAGGTCCAAGAAGAAAGGAACCAAATCCTTTAGCTTCCCCATTTTACAGTCTAGGGAACTGGGACCCCAGTTGGGTGGGGTAGAGGCTGCAAAAGGTCACAGGGCGGGCAGAGGTGGAGACAGAGTGCTCTGGGCCCCCCTCCCTTGCTCTCCTATGCACATTTGCAGGCACCAGTCAGTATATGAGAAGCACTTACCTGGCACCTGGCAGGCACTTCAACAGAGTCAGAGACTATCACTATTACTGAGTGCTCATGTGTGCCAGGCCCAGTGACAGGCACAGGCAGGGAGAACAGCCACGGTGCCTCCTCTCCTGGGATCTCAGAGCCTTCCCCACGTGTGGGCACCCGGATCTGGCCCAGACCCCTGGCTCATGTGTGTGTGTGCGTGTGTGTGTGTGTGTGTGTGAGAGAGAGAGAGAGAGAGACAGACAGACAGACAGAGACAGAGACAGCATCCCAGGAGGGAAAGGGAGAGTGGTTCAGCACCATGTCACTCACTCCCACTTTCTGGAAAAATGACTGCTCGGCCTGAGCACTCTTCTTAAGTGAAGGGTGAACACAGTTCACTTGGACTCTATCCTTGCCCCCCAATCTCACAGCTGCCCTAGAGAAATACATGCAGAGGTCCCAACACGCAGAGGTAGACAGGAGCCCCAGAGCCAGGAGGGGGCTTGGCCAGGTCCAGCTGACTTGGCTTTCATATTCTCACCCTAAGGCTCAGGAGACCCCAGATGGCACCCTCGTCAGAGCACTTATCAGGGAGCCCATTTCCCAGAGGCCCTCCTGCCCCTCAGCTGAGCAGGTGGCCTCCTCAGGACTTCTGAGGTCCCTTGCTGTGCTTAGAAAGCCCACTGGGAAGGGCTGGCTCTGCATGGGAGGGAGCCAGGCTGGGCAGGCAGTCTTAGACACCCAGGCCAGGCCTGGAGAGTGAGTGGGTAGCAATGGCTAGGGACCCACAGAAGGAGACTGACATTTGCTGAGAAGCAAAAAGTGCCAACCCTAGGCTGAGGGTCATCTCATCTGAGCCTCTCCACATGCAGAAACTGAGGCTCAGCCAGTTCAACATCCTGCAGCTGGTGCAAGAGGCGAAGTTGGGACTCAAACCTGCCTGATTCCAGAATAGGTGTCCCCTTCCCCTTGCCTGGGTAAGCCTGTCTCAGGCCCTGACCCTGAGGGGGAGACATAGGGATGAGGCAGCATGATGGTGGTTATAGCCATAAGATGCTAATAATTGATGACCACTGTCCTAAGTAATTTGCAGTTGGGGACACTGAGACACTGAAAAGTTAAGTGACTCAACAAGCAGGTACCAGTGCAGGGGTTTGAACCCAGCCACCTGACTCGGAAGCCCACTGTTCACACTACACTCTCCGGCAGAAATAGACTAAATAACAACAGCGTGTAAGTCTGACCAAGGCCTGGCCTGGGACCACCAGTGGGTGTGGGCCCAGGGGTGGGGCAGAACCAGAGAGCCCAGCTGAGGGCAAAGAGCCGGAACTGTCCAGGAGTCACTGGTGCTCTGTCCTGTGCGCTGGCCTCTGGCCAGAGTTTATGGTGGTGATCTCACTCCTTCAGCTGCCATGTTGGCACCTCCCCCAGTCCCTCTCCCTCATTTCAGCGGCAGGGACATCTGGAAGAGCTGAGGTGAACAGAAGTTTCCCCCTGAAAGAATTAAGGGAACAGCATACACCTTTTTCTGTGTGTTCTGATGGTTACTAGTTAGTCCAGAAGCCCCTGGTGGGGATGGAATAGGGGTGGTCCGTGTTAAGAGGAATTGGGGGCTCCCTCCTACTCCCTCCACACCCTGCCCCTCCCCTCCTGCCCCATTCACAAAGCTCATTAGCATTTTAAAGGCTGTGAAGGATCCTTCTGTGCAGAGAATATTTATTTGTTTAACCCGATCTTTCCCAGACTGCTGGTCTGCTCCTTAGGGAATCCTGATTAACAGTTCACAGAATGCCTGAGAGGCTTCTCCAGGCTCAGGGATCGAGGGACACCTTGCCTTAAAAGGGGTGCCCTAGCTTCCCACAGTGGCTACAGCTATATCCAGGGAGACAGGTCCTAGGAGGGACAGGCCTGAGCAGCCAGCAGGTGCCACACACCCACCCCTACTCCCCACTTCATGTGGCTTCTCAGGTGTCTGTGAAGGCCTGTGGCTTCTCTGCTTCCAGCTCCTCCTTGATCCCTCAAACAATGTGGCCTCCTGGCTTCCCCCAGCCCACCCAGCTCAGAGCTGCTGTTCGCTCTACTCCCCATGCGGGGAAATGTGTCAGAGGGCCTCCCACAGGATTGGGGTCATCTCAGGAGGAAAGGGGTGTTGATGACAAGTCCCCACAGGCAGGTCTGAGCAGATGGCTGAGGGGATTATGAAAATCCAGCTTTGTTTTCATCTGGAGTCTGGGCTGAGAGGGGGAGGCAGCAGGGCCCATGCCATACTCAGAGTAGATTCAGGAGCTGAAGAGCAGCTTAAGCAAGAAAGTCTGCCTATCTGGGGGCCAAGGAGCTTCCTCTGCCAGACACACCCTAAACTACCCACTCCTGACCTTGGGGAAGCAGCAAGCAGTTAAGATAAACCACCAGACATCACAATGAGCAAGAGCCACTGAGGTGGAATCTGGCTTTTCCATAGACCTGCCTCCATGGTGGGTGTGCAGTTAATAA